ATTTTAGTCTTTAGTTTCAGTTTTACATCTTTGCGATCCACGGGTTTGAAATGGGAATTCTAGCAGTGAGATTGTGGGAGATTGTGTGGATGGATAGGAGTGGATGGGGTGAAGAAATGTTTGTTTGTGTTTTGTGGTTTGCGTTTTACATTTTGTTGTACTGTGTGTATTGAGGAAAGGTTTCATTTGGTGCTTTTTGATATTCGAGGTTTCTGATTTTTGAGGTGAGGGATGGTTGGATTGTTGAGGTGTTGAGTTATTGGGAGTTAATGAGTAGCTGGTTGGTTGGATAGCTATTTGAGAAGCGGATAGTTCTGCAAGCTTTGTCTTAAAGTATCTAGATTTGCGTTTCTGGGAGAGGGAGTTGTATTGGGGTATTGGGAGAGGGAAGAAGTGAAGGAATTACTCTTTTGGGGCGCGGAGTGGTTGGTTTGATGGGGTGTGGAGTATATTAAGGTGTTGGAGAGAATATCGCGTTGGGGAAATCTCAATATCGTATCGTGAATTTGGGAGGGAATGGGTAGATGATAGTTTGCTGGTTAAGTGGTTCTAGGTATGTTTGGAAATTCTCTGTTTCTGTTTCTAATGTGTGAGGATCGTGGTTGGAGATAGGTGAGATAGAATGCGGCGAGATTAGTTGGTAGGGTGGATGAATGGATGAATGGGACATGTATTTGTATTTGCAATTTTGTACTAGATGTTGTGGATTTCGTAGAAATGATGAGAATAGGAGCGAATTTGGTATTTGATTTTGGTTATTGATTTGATGAGGAATGGAGATACAGAATTCGTTGTTGACATTAATGAATCTCAACTTGAAAAGGTAAGAGGGAGAGGAAGAGGGAAAGAAAGAGGGCTTGAGGAAGACTTTTTTCTCCTGCTGAATGAAGACCAATAGTGAGCGGGTGAAAGAGAGGGAGAAGTTCCTGTAGATGGCTAGTTCATACTTCATCATCATCATCATCATCATCATCATCATCATCATCATCATCATCATCATCATCATCATCATCATCATCATCATCATCATCATCATCATCATCATCATCATCATCATCATCATCATCATCATCATCATCATCATCATCATCATCATCATCCAAAGCCCAGCTAATCTATACCTCATTCACGTAAAGAAACAGCAAAGCACCATCCATATCGCAGTCAACTTCACACACATACACATCACCAAGTCATTCCAAGTATATGCACCGAAAAATATATGATACTGTTTCTGCGCTCTATCCTATCCATCCTCCGTTTTTTGTTTTGTCGTTTTGCTTTCATGTATAATTCCTCATCACATCATCTCGCATGTCATTCCTTCTCTGTATGCCTCCTGAGTCCTGACTACATACCCCAAGTTTCTAATATATTTCATTATACTTTATTATACTTCATTATACTATACTATACTATTATATTCTATCTCCTTGCATTTATACCTAAATATATGTATCTCCTAGGGATAAATTTCCTTCACTTTTACTATCAATTCTCCTACTTCAAAGTTTACATTCGAAATCTCGAAAGTCATATAGCATACCTAGCTAGTTCGATCATTCTCTCATATCCTCAGTTCTCATCGAGATCGAGATGTGTACATTTTACAAGTTGTCTACTCTATAACTTGAGGCATTCTTTTTCTTTCTCCTACATAAGATTTTCTGGGTACTATAGATCTAAAATATTTAAGTGTTCTCTTCAACGAGATATTTATTCCTGACCATCAAATCGATACGATTATATCACTAGCTTCGTTTAATTACTTTACAATCTAGATACGTATAACAACTCCCAATCCCTCACCATTTGAGTTCGATTCGGAGGCAATGAAGGAAAATACGGAGGTGGTACATGATATGTTAGGATTCTAGGTATATATCATAAGGGAATGAGAAGGAGATGGATCAAGGAGATGTAGAGATGGGAAAGAGAGATGTATTGTACTGTACTGTATTGTTTTGAAATTTTGTATCTTAGTAACTAATACATCACACGACGAACAAAAATTTGAGTTTTAGCATACCTAGGGACTATGATGGTAGTAGATGATAATAAGAGATTGACTTCAAGAATGGCAAGTAAAATGTACTGATTATATTGAGAGCTTAGAAGACGAATTAGAATTAGATATCTATAGGGGCGGATAGATTGATGAGATATATGAAATAGAGTTGTATAAAGAAACATTGAAGTATTCCTATGATTCTGAAGGAAATTTGGAAAGAAGTGAAGTAGATTTGAGATGGATGTGCAAGGGAATGCTAGATAAAATGGGGAAGAAAGGGAATATAAAAGAACTGATGGAGAAGGTTGTGATGAATGAGAGCTATAGACTATCAGTCATTGATGTTCATTTATATTAGAGAGTGTAAAGATTGTGTACTGTATGATGATGAAATAAGAAGTATATAGGAGAATTGAGTTTGCTTATTCTACTAATATTAGTATCTTTAGACTTGATATAGTAGAAACACTGTTGTACATGTAAAGGTGTTTAGAGTTGGATTTTTTTAATGTCCAGAAACTTGTTACTAATGACAAATTAAAGTATTTGAGAGATGTAAGGGGGAAAAGTAAAAGCAAAGAGGAAATCCACAAAAATGATTATTTGATAGTAGTTAAGAGTTTGTTCTTCTTTGGAAACATGCCATCTTGTATGGATATTTACAGCTTTGTTGGATGGTGACGGTGATAGTATAGATATGATGAGTTGTATAGATCAAATTACAAGCTTTGTGTGCTTTATAAGAATAGAGAGTAAAGTCGAGAGTTGAGAGGTGAAAGGGGGAAATTGTAGCCATAATTGTGTACACATTCGTCGATGTGAGTAATTATAAGATTCTGAAACTACAATTTGACTCTTGACAAACGACTAAAGTACACCTCATATTTATTTATAATCTTCCATGGTTTTAGGATGGCACTGGAACAGAGGTTCAAATGATCATGTTTCTTCATTCCATTTCACTGGTTTCCTTCTTCCTTATTCAGTACACCTTTGAACACCTTGAACACCTTTGTTTCCATTTCCATTTCCATATTGACCCTAGACCAGCATACAGCAAATATCTGGCCTACTACAGAAGAAAAAAATATCTGCTGTTATGACTTGAATGAAGTATCACTTTAGTTGCTCAGCTAAATACAATACGTAAGTAGGTACGTAGTTCATGAGCTACAAGATGTAAATTCCATCAGGTTCACTATCCACACCCAACGACGAACAAAATCGCAGTAAACCCAACTTCTGGAATTATACTCGTTAGATTATCAGATCTCAGTAAATACTTAATCAATATTGAAGTCTAATTACCCAAGGTAACGAGAACTGAGAATTCTTCCAGCTTTCCACTTATCCATTACTGCATTCCAACGTATCGGAGCTACAGCATTGTAGATGAGGGCGAGGCACTTGCTCAAATTTGATAATGAATTGACTGCACTAGGTATTGTTGCTGTCGCTATTAACCTTAGGTTATGTATAGTTGAGAGCCGTGGATCATACATCACTAGCTAGCACCTTGATTCGAATCTACATCAGTTCATCTACATCAGTTCTTTCGACGACAATGTAGGGTTCTCTAGAGGCTTCGGGAAAATGATGGGAAATCCAAGGATTAAAGATACCAAACCCAATGAAGGACTGGAGCTGGCACCCATTTCACGATATCCTGTAGATTGGAAAATAAACTTCGAGACAGATAATGAAAATGCTGGAAGCAGGATGATTGCCACTTTGCATGGAAAGCAGTAGTAGAAATCAAAACAGACTGGTGAGCTCAAAAACAATTCTTTTTTTTTGAATGACCTGTAAAAGATGGCTTCATAAGCGTATAAATTATATCTCAACTTAAATAGGGAGACATCTCTAATGATTAATACCACTTGATATTCTCTTGATTTGAATCCCCAGCTTAATTTCATCTTTTTGTTTTGTTCTGTATCTCCAATACTCATTCGAACATTTATTTCTTGAATTAATTCTGTGATGGGTTATCAGGTTGCAAATCATCACCATGATGAAACATTCCACAGCCCCTGAGTTTGTTGTTCTTTCCTGTAAGAGGTCGCAATGTAACCCTTCGACTCGTATTTTGAACTGATGAATGTGAAGGATTTCCTAGTTCATGAAAGATGTTTATGTTGTACGTACCGTGCAAATGCATCGTCTTTTTTGATAGACAGGATTCCCCTGTTTTATCTTCTTCCCTTGAGCTTTACTAAAAGCTTCGAGAATTGTTTATCTTCCGATCCGTTTGGTGCCCTGTTCCTGTTCCTGTTCCTGTTCTCCTCTTCCCCTTCCCTTCCCCTTCTCCTCTTCCAAGCTCTATTGCCCCACCTGGTGCTAAGATAACTGATATCTTGCATCTTTTTCGCTTCTAGCGGGTAGATCCAGGGCTTTTCAGGGAAGTCCTATCATGTTACACGTGATGGCTCGAAATGAGGGACATGTTGAGGGAAAATCAAAATGAACTGAATGAGAATGAGAAGGAGAAGGAAAAAGAGACGGGAAGAGAAAGGAAAGAAGACTATACAAATAATGGTATTATAATCATTTGAATCATCATTCCAAATATATAAATTTACCCAGGATAAATTACAAATATATATAAATATAAATATAAAATATAAGTATCATTTTGGGCCTTGATAGAATTGAGAAGGTCTCCTTCCGCTTAGCGGGCTTCGTGGTCGGTCCCAGACCATAACACCACACCTCTCCCAGCACATCTTCCTTCCTTTCCTCTCCCACAAAACAACAACAATCCGTAAATCTTTCAAATTTGATCCATCAGATCTATAGATTAACGCGACGAAAACCTCTCCATAAATCATCAAATCCTTTCCATTCAAACAAAGTAAGTAACTATCCGATATCTATGTCCATTTTGCATCGCATATTGCGTTGTTGACGCGCCTACCATTCATCTTGCGCCAGTCTTTGTGATTCTTCCACACCATACTTTCTTACTAACTAATCTTCATAGGAAGCAATGGCTCGTGTAACTAGAACCACTAGTGGTGAGTTACTTCCTATATTCATTTCCCAGATCCCATTCTTCAGCTATTGAAATATACGTTCGCAAAATCGCGTAAATGGAGCTTCACTAACTCGATATATTAGGCAGTATCCCAGTTAAGGCTGTCCAAGCACCTGTCGAAGCTCCTAAGCCAAAGAAGACCACATCGAAGAAGGCCGCAACAAAGGCAAACACTGGAAAGAAGGTTGCTCCAACCAACGGCGCCAAGCCAGCCGGTGGTATCAAGAAACCCACTGTCTCTAAGAAATCCGCTGCCCCAAAGAAGAAGCCCACAGTTATGGCCCAGGTAAGTTAGATATTGCTATATCTAAGACTAGATATTGATTCTTCTATAGCTTGAAGCTGCTGCAGAGGAAATCGAAGAGGCTGCCGAGAAGGCTGCAGAGACCGTTGAGGAAAAAGTCGAGGAGGCTACTGCTGAGAAGCCAGCACCCAAGACGAAGGTATGTCATACTTTTACTTTTACATACTTTGATATTCACACCAACTCCTTTTCTTTTCTCACATAGTTAACATATCATTCTTCCCCAGACTCCCGCACCAAAGAAGCCTGTCACCAAAAAGGTTTCTAAGAAACCCGCCGTCAAGGCCTAAGCAAAAGCACCTCTATCAAAATCAATCGCTCTCCAGGAACACATATGGAGGTGTCTCTTTCAAGAGCCTTTATAATATAACAACCCTTTGGATTGAACATACAATCACTCCTTCTTGTTGATACCCAACATCTATGTTCTGAGCGAGCGTTACTTTGGAGTGTATATGAATGTGCCCTGGCGTTTCTCAGGCGTTTTCTAGTTTTTAGGTCGAAGGTGGTAATGATATGTTCAATGTTATGACTTGTGGATCTTTTGGGGGACTGTATCTAGATAGTATCTATGGATGCGTATTTGGGAATAGGGGAATGCTTTTTCTTTAACTTTGCTTTTGGAAGAAGAATCGCGATGAGAGAGATTTTGGAAAGACGGCATAGCTTGTTAAATGAACAAATGATGGATCTAAAGGAATTGTAAATGATTTATACCGAACGATTTGAATGCTAGCAATTGTTTTTGCTTTTGATTATTGTGATACCGTACTTCAAGTTGAAGACCTGCGTCAACTACTTCATTAATAGGAGTATAGGAAGGAGTATACATTTAGCTAATAGCGCCTAGCACTGCATATCTTGTTACTGCCTTTTCTATGCCTTTTCTGTGCCTTTTCTATTTTTTGTCCACCAAATCACTTTTCATATTTTTGTCTTCCGAATTCTACATGTCCCTATCTAGCATGTTCTCATTCCCACTTACTAGCTGAAGACTTCTCGTCATCACTAACGTAACCAGCACTAGGTACCCATTGCTAAGAGATACAGAATCACCACAAAATGTCCTTTACTTTCCTCTTCTTTCCCTTAACCCATTCTCACTCTAGTCTCCTCTTCTTTCCAGCTTTGCTCTTCAACCCCCTTGATACGTTACAACAAGTCTGAAATACCGAGTCTACTGACCTTGGATATCAGACAATCATCGTTTCCTGTATATTCGAGAGGTTCGTCTGCTTTTTTGTGCTCACACAGATTCTCCCTCTACACATTCCCTCTTAGTTGCTCCGACTTTATCGCCTCATATTCCTCAACCGTCTGTTATTTTCTTCTGATTTTCTCTCCCTCGCTCCCTGTAATGTCATGTCATTGGCTTGTTTGTCTTAACGAAATGTCGTTGGGGTATGGATAGCCCTAGTATCTCCATATTTTCGTTTCTAGTCTCATTGTTCTGATTCACTATTTGAATTTGCAGACTCGAGATATAGGTATACCTAAATGTGGAAGATTTTGTGGCGGCTTTAAGGGGGTGGAGAAATAGGAGGAGGCATAGTTGGGTAATGTATGTATGGGATGGATATGGTATTTATGATAGGTAGTATGTGGGTGAGATGGGTGGGAAGGGAAGTGAAGCGCGAGGAAGTTAGCAGATCGATTGATGGATCAGGCGAGAGATGGTGTGTGGAGTGCGGAGTGTAGAGTGTAGAGTGTGGTGTATAGATATCTATGGTGTTGTGGATGGTCACGGGTTGAGGCGCGGAATATATGGTTCGATTCGAGATGCGAGGATTAGGATGGAGCTTGGTGGGCTGTGAGGGGTTATCTGGGAACGGGGAGTGGAGATTGAGTTTCTTCCTCGTCATCCCGAGTTTCTCATCTATCCTCGTGTGACTAGCTAGATTAGCCAGATATCTATGGTCAAGTGTCGTAACTTTACTTCATAAGTCAGATAACTGGAATTTAAATTTGAGATTTGAATCTCATTCTCATGCATTCTGCGTACCTATCTTCTCATCGTGAGAGAATTTTTGATACTGGGATATGATATATTTCGATATGGGGAAGGTAATCACGGAATCTTGGAACGAGGATATATCTATGCCTCTTGAATCTGCAAATTAGATGCATAGATGCGCATGAAGATTTGAATTTGTGTAGGAGATGACTCATCTAATGTTAAAGTTGGCCTAGGTAGGTATCTACATATAGGTCTCTACATGTTTTAATCGTATGATAAGTAACTACACGGGTGTCTTTAAGTAGGTAGGTACTTAGCTTAGGTGGCTGGGTGGGTGGTAAACTGCATTTCCTTCAACCCAACCAAACCACGCTGGATTGGAATATCTATTTCATTTCATTTTATCTTATCTTGTCAGCAAATATATATACACGTATATCAAATATCAAATATCATATACATTCTCAGATCTATATTGAAATCTGAGTACCCATCACATCCATTCCCACCCAGCACACCCTCTCAAATTTAAAACTCCACATTCCCCTCAATCCTCCGCAGAAAACTACCATCTGTCCTGAGAATGAGAATTAACCAAAAATTCATAATATCATCACCCTTCTTTCTAATCCTCCCCCGTTCCACTTACTCCTATGCACTGAATTAAAGTCTCATCATTCCCTTCTATCTTGCTTTCAGATAATATCACACCCTAACAATACTATTCTAATCCACAATTCCAGACACAATTCCAGACACAATTCCAATTCCAATCCCAATTCCACACAAACCATTCTCAACTCTCAAATTCATTTTACAAGAGCATATAAGCACAGCTAAGAAAGACTCAAACCAAAGCTACCTATCTTATGCATGAACAACAGGAGCTCAATTTCTGTAGATTAGATGACTTGGTATCGCTTGTTATTTTCTTATCTCATCTCATCTTAGAATTGAAATACAAATCTAAATATAAATATAAATCTCGATACTAGATCTTGGTATTTTTGTTAGAGAGTGGTTTCTGTGTGTAGATATAGATGGGAGATGTTTGGATTGAGGGGGAGGAGAGAGGGGATATGTGGATAGCCGTTATAACTTGTATGATCTGATCTGACATGATGTGATATGATGTGATATGATTAATGTGGGATTTAGTTAGGTAGGTAGGTACGATATGATGTGGCATAATGAGGTCGAAATATGGGTTTGGAGATGTTACTGTGGGATTATATTTTGATAGAGTTCAGAGTGTTGGTTCACAAAAGGTACATACATATACATGCATCGAGTCTGAAAGGGTTCTCTTCCACATACTTCAAACAGAACAATGTAGCTTAGCATAGGTATACAGATTTAAACCATCAAACCACCAGCTAACAAATAAGCAATACAATCGATAACCATCTCAATACTTTTCCGCACCCAATTCATCACATCCACCCACCTACTTTCTCCCCAAATCCACACCCCCAACTCTCACCAACTGCTCTTCTCCCTCCTTACCACCCTCGGACCCCACGCCAAAAAATCCACCAACACTCTTCCCAACAACCTCCTTCCAAAATCCCTCCACAACCGCCTTGCACTCCTCTCCACTCTGTCCGAAATCCGGGAACGCATTAACCTCCAATAACCAGACCTCTCCATCCGCATCCACCAAGAAATCAAGTCCAAATGCTTCAAACGCATTTGGCAATGGTTGGAAATGAATACTCATTTCCTTAGCGGCTGCTACGAAAATCTCTGCTGTCAATTTAGATATTTGGGTTTGGATTTTCTCATGTAGAGAGGCGGGGAAGGGAAGAGAAGAAAGAAGATGCACGGCATTTTTCTTCGAGTCCGAGGTTTGTATACAGGTATTTGTGAGATGCGGGTTAAGATCTATTTCGCCCGAGGAAGAGGATGAAGACCAGGGAGGAACATATGCCGAGCTAGCGAAGAGGGCTAACATGGATTTATAGACGTAAATATCCAGGGCTCCAGAAGCGAGAACATATGTTCTGATATGGAACTTAGTATTTTTCGGTGCTGTTGTATCAGCATCGGGGGCGAGGAGAAGTGGTGGGTGGATATATGGTTGTGCGAGGAAATGACGAAGATGTGATGTTTGGATATAATCTTTCTCATCATCGTCATGATTCTCAACTTCTTCGTCTTCTTCATCGGAATCAGGTGCGTCCTCTTCCCATCCTTCGAAGATGGCAAGGAGTTCTTCGTAAGAGGAAAACAACCTAATGCCCTGTCCTCTATCACTCATTCCCGGTTTCAATATCCACCATTCTCTATCTGAGGCGTTACCTCCTTCTTCGTCAACTTTTTCGTTTCGTGCAAAACTTTCCTTCAAGTCCCAACATTCTACCACCGCATCATCTAAGAACTCGGCGTAGTCGACCTCGAAATGCTCTGCGCGCTTGATGTTTGTTTTGAGAATAGAGTCAGGGTTCTTAACACACCATATATGGGATGTTTCACTCAAATAGTGTTTACGAATGAGGGCTTTGCGGATAACGTAGGCATTTGTAAGGGAGGTTGTAGGTTTCGATGTTATTTCATCAAAAGGGATGGTTTCGTATGATGAAATATGGAGGTATGGTGATTCTGGAGTTGGGAGGTCGGAGGGAGAAGAGAGAAGTGTAAATGAAGATTGAGGGAGCTGTTTCAGAGCCGAAAGGATTAGTGGTTGAACATAAGAATCTTCGTAGTCGATATAGGCGTAAAAATGAGGTTGTTTTGACTTGGGCTCTTGAAGGGAGAGATCCGATAGTGATGGTATTGGATCTGAGGATGGTCTGGCGAAAGGATTGGTCAGAGGTGCTCGATTACGTTGGTACGTTTAAAATGGGTGGGAAGGAACTTGTATTGGTCTAACAATATCTAATGCTCTATTGATATGCCATTAATAACTCACAACTTCAACTCTCCTTGTGTCGCTGCAGTAGCATGCATGAAATTTGCCTTTAATGGAGTGACGCTATAGTAATGTTAGTCTTAAGAGAAGTCATTCATTTAAAATAGAACATACCTTGTGTAACCCTCCTTGACAGCCCAGCCATCATTACCAGGTTCAGCTTCTTCTACACTCTTATAGACGTCTGTGAACCTTGGTGCCCATTTGAAATGTTTGTGTGTGTGCCCGACAGCCTTCTTCCCCTCTCCATCTCCCTCCCCCTGCTGCCCCTCCTTTTCTCTAATCTTCTCTTCTTCCTCATCAGCATCCTCATCGTTTCCGTCTACCTCCTCAAAGCAACTTCCTTCTCCCCAGTAGTTCTGTAACATGTTTGTCCACAAAATCTTGTTCTTCTCCACTCCCTCCACCAACGGAACATTAACCGTATACAAATCCACCCCCTCACCCCAATTGTTATACAAATACTCGATAATCTTCACTCCGACTCTACTAGCGCCTCCAATAATTTCTGGATCATGATTTCTCGTGAAAAACGCAAAGCTCAACGCAATGGCCTTTCTCTTGCAAACCGCCGCCTCCATCGCCCCTCCAATAGTCCCACTACTCAAACTGAAAACCGCCGTACTATTTCTTCCATAGTTTGGTCCACTAACAACCAAGTCTACTGGTCCTCTATCTTTGAAATAATGATAAAGACCAATTTGTACGCATGATGCAGGTGTGCCATCTACTAATACCCATTCTTCTATATTATCGCTCGAGGGACGAGCATGCGTTGTACCGTCATCTTCGTGAAGGGTGCCAGGTCTGAAATACGTGGGTTTGACGGTTTGTCCGACCATGTGCGCTTTGCCTATCCATGAACGTTGGGTATGGGGAAGGACGACTGAAACTATGTGGCCGGCGGCTTGGAGATTTTGGACGAGGGAGTGGACATAGGGAGAGGACTTGTTGGAGGGAGGTCCATCATCATTTACCACCTATTATGAATTGTTGGTTAGAATATCAATATTTGATACAATATAAACTTTCACTTACGAGAATATGCATCTTGAATGTGGTTGTCTGAAAAGCTGTTGTGTCCAAAAGAGCTGTTGATATTTTGGTGGGATGTGCGGGGGATATTTATCGATATCGGATCTTTTTAGTCAGGGATTTAAAACGCTTCAATCCAAGGGCTCTTTGAGCTATCAAGTTTGACACTACCGGTATTAGGTACTTAGGTACCTATGGCATCATTTACATGACATACATGACAATCACAATCGAATCAAATCATCAAAAGAAACGTTTAAGAATGTGCTTGATCATCATTTTATCTCGTTAGGTACAGTAGTAGGCCAATTCTCGCTATGCCTAAAAACTGAAAACGCCATTGCCTGGTATTTTACAAAAAAGGTGCGCGGGAAGGGGTCCAAATTCTGCTATGTGCGATGGCCTCGAAGAACCCATCAAATCATGCAGGAATGACCGTTAAGAAGTAAAAAGCATCAAGTAGGTGATTAAAAGAAATAAACACTGCAGGTTCCTGCAATCAAAGAAAGTTCATGAGAGGATATCTCGAGAATCTCTGTGAAAAACTCCCACCCAGTCCCGTCCCATGCGTTCACCAATATGCATTCAATCTTCGTTCCAATATCCCTTAAACAAATAAAAAAGTAATAACCAGAATTCTAAGAGAATCTTAGTTGCGTGCTCTCTTCACTTCCTCGGTAGGTCTTGAAACAGATTCTCCGTCTCGCTTTCTGGTTGCGCGTTCGAAGTTGTTGTCACTTCCAGAGGACTTGGATGGGCTAGTAACGTGGGAGCGGCCACGGCGTGGAGGAGTTACTGGCGAATCGACAACATCATATCTCTTTGTAGCACGTGTAGCTCTTTTGATAGTTGGTGAAGATGATGGTCCAAATCTTGGTGCATCCGGCGTCATAAGACCTTGGATGTGGGATGGAGTGCGTAGTCCAGCATCACTCTCTGTCGCATCGGTGTCGAATTTCTCCTCGATATCAGTCAAAGCTTCCTCTTCGTCTTCGGTGGTGACTTGGACTTGTGGAATGACGGGAGCTCTGCGATTGTTGGTGAACAATTGACGTCTGCATGAACGAGTAACAGGTCCATTAAATTCGCCTGCAAAGCTTTGGTCGAGAATCATAACTTCAGCACGACCTGCACCTCGGGTTGGACTGTGACTTGCGGAGGCGTTTGAATTCTTCTTGAAAATAAGTTTACCACGGCTGTAGTAGTGGTTAGTAAAAAATAACAAGCTTGGGTCAGGTGAAGATAATGCGACTTACAAATTAGAAACATGTCCATCCTCACGACCCATGAGCTGCTCCATAGTTTGATCCTCCTCTCCTGGAACGTGAATCAACTTGGGTTTGCGGCTTCTGCCTCTAGTATTTTGTGGAGGGCTACTACCAAGAAAAGGATTATCGACATGGCTGTCAACCTCTGGAATGCGGTCTTCAGAGTCGGTGAATATAGCAATTGGTTCATCTGCAGATGAGCTTCCAAAGTCAAAATTATCGTATCTCTTGCGATTCTTCTTGGGTTTTGGCATCGCATCCGCAGAATTGTCGGCATGGATCGAGGTAAAAAGAGTACGTGAAACCGCATTAATTCCTTGCTTCAATTCCTCCGTTTGTTTGGGATGGCGTGGGGTTTTAGAAGGTGTTGGCAGCATACCGTCGCCGCGAACCATCGCACCAGATCGTTGATGGTTGTCCATTTTTTGCTCCTTTTTCTTATCTTTAGGAGTGAGACCGAGAGCTGTAGCTGCGGATGTTGTGCTGCCGAGATTTAATGCGCCAGAAACTTGTCGGCCGGCAATTGTGGTAGACGATTTAGGTGCGCGTCGTTTAGTCGCAATTTGAGGAGATTTAGGCGGCGACGAGTGAATATGTTGAGGTGTACCAGAGAAGACAACTTTTCTGGCGACTCGAGGTGTTGATTGCGGAGTAGAAAGACTGTTGCGAATATTATGTTTAATAGATGGAGGTGGTGGAGTAACCGCGTTACGAATTGCCCTTGAGGCTACTCGACTTGATTTTCTGGGTGAATACGGTTCGTAATTATCATCGTAACCGAATCGTGGTGTTGATGGAGTTTTGAGGGAACTGGAAGGTGGTGGTGTACTTGGTCTCATCGTAGCGGAAGCCATCTTCGCAAACAAAAAAAGAACCTTCAAGGTTGGTCGGTAAGGTGAACGTCGTTCAATCCAATGCTCAAAATCTACTTCAAACCCGGTTCTGGGAAGATAGGACAGACTTGAAAGGTATCAAGAAGTGATTCTTAGTGAAAGGTGAAAGGAATCTGCAACTGATGGTATATGTATAGATTGTTTAAAAGCGCCGATGTAAATAAACCAGCTGTTGGTACGGTAGTAGTTGTATTGGTTGCTTGCTTGTTGATGTGGCACAGAAAATGTCTGGATTTTGTGATATCACGACGATGACGCTGAAATGCTAAGCAAAGAAATCAAAATGCTCTTGTATAAATGAGGATATTGCATAAATGAAGGAATTAGACAAGAATAAGGTCGAAGGGATGGCAATATTGGTCTTGTTTACTGTCTTGACCGTAAAACCAGGAGGTTGAAAGAAAGATTCCCAGCCATGTTGATTTCCTTAGGCTTTCATTAGTGTCCCCAACGCTCGGACGATTTCTGTTAGATTGATGAATGACAGCGAACATTTGGACCAAATGGACGTGGATTTGTGAATTTACGTGACTTTACGCGTCAAAACATACTCTTTGGGGGTCTTTTGAAGAATTCTAGAAACAGTCAAAGTCACATTCTTCCTTCCTGACCCACTGATACCGACACTGACCCTGTCCTTGTCCTTGTCCTTGTCCTTACTTACCTCTTGGTCCATTATGGCTACCCCAGATATTGGCAAGCTAGACCTTTCAGATTCAGATAATGATGACCTTTTTGCATCCCCTTCCAAACCCTCAAAGGCTGATCTCAAGGCTCTAAACAAGAGTTCGGAAGGCAATGCGCCGGCGCAAAGAAGTGGGGGATCAAAATACGATGCTGAGACAGCAAGAGAAGCGGCCCTACAAAAGGAACTAGAAGGAGTTCGCAATATCAATGAACTCATAGAAGGAGTGCTGGGCAGTCTGGATCTTGCGAAGGGAAATATGGATGTAAGGAGAATTTGTATGATAGGCATTGGATTATAGCTAAGAATTATTTCAGACAGTCTCACAAACGGTTACATCCGCTTCAACGCTACTTAACACATGGATTCGCATACTATCACAGACGGAACATAATCAAAGATTAATCTTGAATCCAAATTGGCGGGGCGCAAGTCAGGATATTGCAGATATGGAGAACGAGCAGGTATTGAAAGCTCAAGCCGCTGAACGTCGGGCTGCGGAGGAAGAGCGAAGAAGAGAAGCTGCAAGGCAAAGAGCGGAGGATGAAGAAAGGCAAAGACAAGCTGGCACAACATCTCGTGGGACCCGAGGAGGAAGAGGCAGAGCTAAAGGAGGAGTTTTAAGACCTGGAAGTGTTTCCTCGTCAGGATATGGACGTGGAAGCTCGACCGGCTCAAGCACAGGTACTGGCACAAGCAGAGGTGGATCAGGTATTGGAAGAGGTATTCCACGAGGCAGAGCACGAGGAGTACGATGAATCATTCAAATCATTCGCTACAAATTTCTACATGATGGTGTCTCAGATGTGCCAACCTGGATCGACCATTACCCAAAACCATACCCCAAACCTGCCACAACGCCAAATTTCTTGCAGTAATAAGTACAATCATTTTTTCTTGAAGAAGTCGCTCATCTTTTTCATACCACTAGTGTTGACCTTCTTTAGATTCTTGACACCTCTGCTCTCACCAGCCTTCTTCCTCTTATCCTCCTCGTCTTGTTTGCGCTTCTTTTCTGCGCGCGTTTCTATCTCTTCATCATCACCTACCGTTGCTCGCTTCCTCGAATAATCTCCCATAGATCTTGCCGCCAAAGCATCTTGCCGCAATTTCGTTAGATATCCGAGATGGCTATCCAAGGAGGTGAAGTCGATAGGTGATGCTGATGATTTTAAAGAATTCTTCAATACGTCACTGAGATGAGGGGCTATGTAATTCGAGCAAATGAAAAAGAATGCCGTACGGATGCGCAGCAGGTCCGCAACACCCTGGGGTGCATCGATCGATGGCATGCTTATTCTCTGATCTTTAGAGACATCAGCCAAATCGCCCGATATTGATGTTGCTGCTGTTGAAGCTTCAGAAAGTGAACTCGCTACAGTATCTGTGGATGAGTCTGTAATTTGTGTAGTTTGTGACTCGATTCGTGGAGTCGAAGTTCCTGACTTTGCCGATGCACTCGCTTCCTCGTTCAATCCTTCCTGAGTAGATTCCTCACCACGGTTGATACTCAGCACTGGTACGTCGAGTGCTTTTCTAACGAGTTTCTCCTCCATGCTAGCAGGCAACCCGTACTCAACCATTTTCTTGGCCTTCTGTAAAAGTTCCTTGGATAGCTTTTCCTCGTTTATTCTGAATATTGTTTCGTCCCCAGCGTCCACTGTGTCGCATACTGCCGTCATCCTTTGTTCTAGCGTCGATCGTAATGGGCCAGCTCTCAGGAAAGACCCTAAATGTGGTGATGTAGATATTAATTTATCGAAATAATCATCGCCAGACAGGAATAACTTTTTGGGTGGATCCGAAACTTTGGTCGTGGGAACAGGTGCAAGAGCTGGAAGAATAATGAATAGAGAGTCAATTGGCGTCGCAATGAATAGATCTGCCCCTTTCGTGACATAACCTTTGGCTTTGGACGAAGACTCTTCATTATCAATCGTTTCATCTTTGGGTAGTTCTTCCTTTAATGATGCCGTCGACTCATCTTCCGGTACGAGTAACCAGCTTTTAGGTGTGGTTTTTGGTGCAGCTATTCGAGTAAATTCATTGAAACCTTTATTGGGGCATACAAGATATCGACTATCCTTTGCGTATCTAGGGTTTTCGAGTGTGATAATTCGAGCCTCCGTACTGATATCCTTTGGTAATATAAAAACCCTCGGGGGGTTGACATCGTCTGGCTGCAGTTTGACTTTTGGATCGGCGACTTTCGAAGGTTCTGTTTCTACTGCGGCAGCTTTGGTGGCTGGTCTCCCTCTAGTTTTAACCACCATATCCTAAACAATTGTATGTATAATTATGGTAGAATTGTTCAGCGAGTCGCAATTAAACCACTGTGTTGTGCACTTGAGTTTTGGGTGAATATATACCTGGCTATCTTAGAATCTATGAGACTCAACCACTTTAAGAAGTCGCGTCTTGTCGCGTTGCATAAAAGCGCGTTGGCTTAGTCATGCATAGCAACCAATAAAGCCAATTGCTTTAAATTGAAGTCCAAGGCTGGGAGCGCCCATTGGCTTGCACCATATTTTGAAATCCGGGGTTTTGCGCTTTTGCTTCAATTCAAACATCTGGATTTGGAAATAGAGCGATAGAGCGAACGATAACCCAAAGTTAAAAGCTCACACTATTTCAATTCCCATCTGAATGGGCTGAAAATCTTACCTGCCAATGGACAAGCTTCCTCAAAGACGAATGACAATCACATCATAAATTCAAATGGTATTCCTGCCTTTACCATTTGATAACCCACAATCTTATATTATCTTCGATCCGTCTGCAGACTCACTTCGTTCTGCAAGCACAAGCAACATCAAATTTCCATTTCGTTAATTATTGTACAGTGTATGCGATCCGACTTCCACAACTTTCTACGCTGCGGATTTTTATGGATGGACGTTGAGCAAAACGCAATACAAATCAACAATTACCCCGAATGTGCAGTATATATGACAAACAACAATCCTTCGCGAGAATTGATATCACGATATCGAATTAATTTAAACCGCTTCCTTAGCTGCATATTCTGTTACCTGCACATTGTTATTGTGCTCATTATGTCCCAAGGTATGTGCGCTGTCATTCCCGTATAAAATTTATGACTGAGTATTTAAAAGGCGGTGCTGAAGAGGCTCAATGGCCACCAAGATCTCCCCGAGAAGCACTATTAAGTACCCCCGGCGGTCGGGATCGATTACGGCGATACGCAACAGGATTTTCTCCTACTGCTTCCCCTTCGAAACGACGACCCATTGTGTCGCAGACACCACAAGCTACAGGCAAAGATCGGATGAAGGCCGATATGTACATGGAAGAGATGGGGGGCGACGACGAAGACGATGAAGAAACTTTACAGTTGAAACTACAGGAAATCCAAGCGCGACTTCGATTAAAGCAGTTGCAAAAGAAGAACAAGCAGAGTTCGGATTCGGAGGGCGAGAAGATCGAGAGGAACGAGCAACTTGAGAGTCACAGGCCCACATCGGGTCTTTTGAGAGCAAACTCTGCAGCGACAAACAGAGCGTCTTCAAGATTGGCAGGATTAGGAGCGGCAGGGTTAAGAGAGAGACCATCGCAACGCCCAAAATCACGCACCGAGATCAATGTTCCAGCATCACCACCGCGCCGTGTTCAGCCTGCTGAACTTCCACAATCTCCTGGAAGGGTTTTACTTGGTATTGATAAAGGATTGAAAGGAATAGACATTTCGCTGAAGAGAGCACCGGGCTTAAGGAAGAATCTAGAGTCGGATTTTAACAATGCGAAGCGGACCGGGCCATTCCTACAACGAAGTCAGTCACAAACTGGAAATCGCATACCGGCATCGCAAAGTTTTAATCAGGTGGAGAGGCCGAAATCTTTTAGCGAAAGAATGGCTGCAGCCAGGATTAATGATACTGAGCGACAGGAAAGGGCAGCTCGAATCAAGAAAACTCGCAGCACAGCATTTGATATAGATCAGAAGCAGATGGAGTCATTCAAGTCCAATGCAATCGAACTACCTAGCCATCCTGCTCCCACCAAAGAATTCAGTCGAGAGGAGGTCTTGAATTCTCTCAACAATTCGAACGGGGAACTAAGACGGCATAAAACTACTTCAAATTTACGTTCAATTCCAATTAACAGCAACGAAACGATCGCCAAGCCACTGACCCAAGGTCCACAAAGCTCCTTTGATAGCTCGAGACGTCCCGAAATCAAAAATAGTCATGAAATATACGCTGGCCTGAGAAGAGGCTCACAGGACTCTCAAAACTCCTTTGATGCATCGAAACGTTTAGCTTTCAGAAACGGTAATGGTTCGCAGAGCTCTCAAAGTTCATTTGATACGTATCGTTCAGCGTTGAGGAACGGCACTGAAGCAAAGTTCTTGAACAGGCCAGACTCACGTGATAGAAGACCCGACTCACAAGACAAAAATATAAACGCGCGAAGTGCTTTCGATAATTTGAATCGAACGCGTTCGAATAGCAATCTTAACAAAGCGTCATCAGATACTTCCGATGGTGAGACTTCGCAGTTCGAACCATATTCTACCTCCCATCTCTCCAAGCGAATCATTCCCCATCAAGTACTCACTCGTACCCTTCAGGGGAAAAAAACTTTTCTTATACCCGATTTACTCAGGACTGTAAAAGCCCCTGACTTTACCGGTCCTGAGATCGAAGAAGATGTTGTTGTGTTCGCAACCATCGCAGCAAAATCTGCACCACGAGCACACCAGGACCAAGCTAAGAATGGCGGCAAATTCATGGTCCTTACCCTAACCGATCTCAAATGGGAACTCGAGCTTTTTCTCTTCAGAACTGCCTTTGAAAAGTTCTGGAAACTCACACCCGGAACTGTTATTGCCCTCCTTAACCCCGGATTTATGCCTCCAGCTCGAGGGAAAACTGACACAGGTAAATTCAGCCTTACGCTTAGCTCAAGTGACGATACAATACTTGAAGTTGGCACAAATAGAGACCTCGGATATTGCAAGAGCGTCAAAAGAGACGGTAAAACTTGTGATACCTGGGTCAATACACGACACACCGAATTCTGCGACTACCACGTCAATCTTTCTCTTACCAAGACCCATGCAAACCGCATGGAAGTCAATACTATGAGCTTCGGCCCAAAACGTAATTTTGGCGGTGGAACGGAACAAAAATACAAGTCTCGAGATATGGCGGGCTATAAGCAACGCCGAGAAGAACTCAAGAAGGATGAAAAGACGAAATATGACAGAGAAAGTCATAGTCAAATTTACATTGGCAAAAGAAGCACCGTAAGCTTATTAGACGATGTCGATTTTGACCCTGATGCTTTTCACAGAGGAAGCACAAAGGAAGACCGAATGACGAAACAACTTCTAGCTCAAGAGAAAGAAAGGGAGCTCGGTAGAAAACTAGGAATGATGGGTGGAGGACTCGGTGCTGATTACATGAAGAGACGTAATCCGGTACAACTTAACCCACAGGATACTAGAAACAGCGAAAGAGAACTGTCTCCGCCGGATGCTAGGAAGCTTGGCCTCATTGGTACCAAACCTTCTGTTCGATTGAGCCCGATCAACAAGCGTAAGCGAGTCAATACAATTGGCGGAGTTAAGAAGAAGACTCGCTTCGTAACTGCAAAAGGGATTAGAGAGGCGGGAAGAGAAAGTTTGGGAGGTCCAGAACTGGATATTGAATTGGACTAGGAGTTTTTGTAATTTTCAACAGCTGTATGTATATGAACGTCGGGCATTCAAGTGTTGTTTTTTCGTGATTGATTCGGGAATACTACTTTGGCGCGTTTTGGGCATACTTTATTCGAGTACTAGCATATTATATCCAGGGAGGGAAGGAATGAAGGAGTATCATCATTATCGTTATTGGCAATGGACTGGACTTGGACATGGACTTGGGACTCGGGTTGGGAAGGGCTGAATGAATGATGAATCAATGAACAAGTTTTGCAACTGTATATAAATACCAAGAAGTACAATGACAAGTCGTCTCAAAAGTTTCACTTCAATTTTTTTTCTCGCTATTTGGCGGTGATTTTGATTTGCGGCTGAGTTTTGCATCGATGTACTCCACTGTGTCAGTATTAGTGAAATGATCTTGAGTATATTGTTGTTGGCGGATACTCGTGCTCGATGTGTTTCATGATCACTTCAACCTCCGGCGAAGGGTTTGTATTGATCTAGACATGATCGTTCTTTCTCTTTGAGACTAGATACTTGAATAGTGTCTAAGGTGGGTTTAGTATTAGTTTTGAGCCGAGCTCTAGGAGGTTCGGTTCATGCTTGTAGTTATGTTTCGGCAAGTTACTCTCAAGCTATATGGTGCAATTAATTTTTGTGATGTGAGAGTAAAGTCGCAAACCCTTCCATTGAGTGGTTGAAACCTGTCATTCAATTACACTATTATGGTTTAGTATCAAGATAGGTAAACTACTCAAAACTCTTATTCCCTCCTCCTACATGTCCTGAACATAACAGACTCAAACAACCTCCAAGAGCACATAGCAAAAGGCAGACAGTAATACAACAAGTCTACATTCCATCTCTCCACAACCACTTTTCAAACTCTTCAGTATTCAGTCCCTTTGGTACTTCCTTCTTTCCAGTCTGCCACTTATTTGTTAGCGCAAAACTTTCATATTGGGACGGTTTCTTTATCAATCTTCTCATATTTTGAACATCTGGGCCATCCTCTCCTTCACACAGAACTTTTTCACTATAAGCTCTCTCCATGAAACAGCTCGCTCGCGCTTGATCACTTTGCGCAATGCTAATATTGAAAGCATCCCAGTAGATGTCAGAGATCAACATGTTTGCCCTATCCTTATTTTCCTCTTTGAGTATCTGAACAGAGGTATGGCAGTCTGCTAGACTTTCTGTAGGGTGTTCAAACATTCGCTTCTCTTTATGAAGTTCATGTCTAAGAAATCTAAGATGGGTACGTTGAGTATCACTCGCTTGAGTCTCGGCTGGAGAGAGACTGCAAAGAGGACATGTGCAATCAAATGCGTACGCTCTCTTGAGATGTGCACGCCGTACATCGAGCGTTTCTCCTTTACCGGGGCGGTATGCAATGGTTATTTCTTCTCCAGCTTTGATGGCGCACACGGCGTGGACATTTCTGCATTCGGTTTTGGGGTTCCAGTAAGTATGCGTATTGGGAAGACAGTCGTGATTGATGAGGCATATCGTAGGATATATATCAACAAGTGTAGAGCCATTGCCGCGACCTATAGCATTGGTTACCAGGATGCCGGAAAACGGTTGTCCCTTACAAATGTTGTTTTGCAGCGAAAAAAATTGCCGTTGCTCTGATTTTGGAAGCTTTTTAACTTTGTGGGAAATATTGCTTTCAAGGTATGCTCCTGATGCTAAGGTAGTTCTGATTTCCAAGAGGGATTTCTCCGAAAGTATTCGTTTTCCTTTTTCGATATTGAAGCGAGCTATCAGACCTTTCCCTTTTCCTGGCACCTGTTCGATACTGAACATTTTTGAGTCCTTTCCAGTCTTTGAATGGTTCTTGAATACATTGAAATCAATGACAGCCGAAGCATTTGGTTCACCCGGCTAAATTTCATTAGAAAATAGAACTGATGAGAAGCAGACCAAGACTGATGTACCTGCTCAAAATACTTCCGTGAATCATAAACATCGGCCCATCTATAAAACCCTTCCTGTTTGAGTTCCTCCTCCCAAGTATGAATTCGGGAGCCAAAATGTTCCTCTGCAATCCTAGTTATCGTATCTAGATAGTCCTCGACCCCTTCAGCATGACGAACAGAAATTTTCGAACAGAATCGCAGAAGCTTATGGCCCTCAGATGGAAGAAAAAGATCCCGGTCTACTTTGACGATGATACAGTTCTGTTTTGCTTCAACTAAATCATCGTTTTGGTAGTGTTCTTTGACGGCTTGAATAAAACACTCCCAGCTCTTCTGATCTTCTGTCCTTCCAGATAGGCGTGGAACCATGTCAAAACCAGTGTAGAGACCCATAGCTAAATCTGTGCTGCAATCAGATTCTACAGTAGTTAATATTTATCAATTCGACACCGAGGAAAACACTTCACGATGTGATGTTTGCTATTTAGTCGGTCTTTAGATTATGTTGTGTAACTTAGCATCCAGCCAATGAGCCCCGCTAAAAATTGCGTGCCGTCGGCTGGCCGCATGGAAGAAAGGGGCTATCTAAGGTTCAGAACCTGATTTCGAAAAAGTAATGTGTCTAATGATCAAATTCAGAGTACTAATTATCCAATGAACGTAAATATCGCGTTTGCATGTTTGTATGTTTGGTAGGGATTCGATGGATGGGTTGGGAGAGAAGTAGATGGCTTTGGAACGAATTTTGGAATGGAACTATGTTTGCTGTGAATTACCACAATGATTCACGATTGTGGAATTCAGACATCCGATCTCGATGTCGGATTTGAGTTCTTTGCCGCGTATTTTAAATTATTTTGAAAGGGCGCCAAGCCATCGATGGTCGCCGTCTTACTCGATGTGAATGAACGATGCAATAACAATGCCTATGGATGTAAAGAACTGCTTCAAAATATGGTGGGGCTTGTACTAACTGGGTTGAAATCACTTGTATGCAATGGCCAGAAGTTAATTCATTTGTCACTAGAATTTGAGCTGGACAATGTACATAATCCAGTATTTGCAAACAACAGAATCAAGAGATATGATTAGACCAGCCCAAATATTATTAAACATTATCTATTAAGATAACAATCAACATTAAATATTGAAAAATAAACATTAAAGATCCCACTGCTTTGAAAGCGTGGCCTAATTTGTAATAAACGCCGAACTCCCCCCCCAATCCCAATCCCAATTCCAAAATCACAACACCACTCTAAGCTTCGCCGATTATCTCCCACTCTTCCACTGTAGCCCCTGCCTCATCTCCAAAAACTCCACAACTTGTGCCTATGCACCCTGCAATCTGAAGCACAGATGTATCTCCCATATACACCATTCTATCATCGGGTAGTGTGTAAGTCGTTTTGTGACCTTCTTCGAGTCTTACATCATCCCCAGAATTTTCCTCCCCATCACCTTCTGGAGAATCTTCTGAAGACACAGCATCTGCTAGCGCATCAACATCTCTGATTGCGATAACATTTGCCACATCTGGAGAATCAAGATCGGGAAGAGGAAGGAGGAACTCTTCTCCTTCTGAAGCATTGGTAGAGTTGAAAATTATGACAAAAGCGCTAGTGGGAATTCTTTGTCCCCATACCACATTAATTGTCTTTATTCTTTCGCCTACCACAGAGGTTGTATCGATAGAGATAGAAGATTCATTAGTATTCTCGGGCTGCCAACTCGTTCCTACGTCCCCGTCATTGACACTCTCTGGCCAGCGATTTAATTCGGTAGCGTCAGATCCAATAACTGGAAGACATTGAATTAGATTATTGGACGTGGTGATATCTTGCCAATACATGTCGTTTTCTAATGTGAGGGTCTGATTGAGAGACAGCATGAACTGGAACTGTGGATGGCGAGATGCAGGGAGATTTTGAACCATAGGAACCGAAGTTGTGTTCTGGGGATTGGAGGAAGAAGGCGAGACTCCAGTAAATGTGATGTTAGTATGAGTGTTGTTCATACTAGCACTGAATGTATACCCAGCCCAAGTGAACTCATTAAGTGTGATATATTGTTTGGGTGGAGGAAGAGTTGGCTGGATAGTGAGTACGTCTTGCGAAGAATCTAGACCTAGGTATCCATAGAAAGCGATTTGCATCGTACCGCCATGACCGGTCAAAAATGGAAATGCGGGTGGGTATCCTCCATTTGCGTTGGTGTCATCGTTGGCTTGTTCACTCATTAGGAACCATGGTGCGCGTAGATTGGAAAATACACCCATCTTATTGTAGGTAGATGCTGAGCAACCAGAACGTCCGTATCTTAATGTAGCAATTGTATTAATCGCAAATGTCATGGCTGGACCATGGAGCGATTGCTTTTGTGTGTAATATTGAAGGTCGGCTTGTTTTCTTTCGAGTGTATAGTTTATAGGCTTGGATGACTCTGGAAGAGAAAGAGGGTGGAGCATCAATGTTACATCGGCTTGCTTGACGGTTATGTTGGAGGGCATATCTTCGTATTCGAGAGTAATGCCAGAGGAAGAAACGGGAATAGTAATGTTCTCGGCTATGTCGAGCCAAGTGGGTGGAATCGTTTCATTATATTCCTCCTTGATGGAAATGATGGAGTTCATGATTTGGAAGAAAGATGCCTGAGTGAAAGCACCATTTTTGACGTGGTTAGTCCATTCATCAGGATCAGTCATATTCCAGATGTTCCATTTTCCCTGGTCATCCTTCTGGAGTACACCCTCAATAGTATGCCCTACACTCTCGACTACTGGCCATAATTCTTCTCTGAAGTATTCCTCATTACGAGTGATTCTTCTGTAGTCCAACATCATCTTTGCCACGTCGGTATTGATATGATACTCATAATCTAATGTGGGACCTGTTCCAGTTGCATTGCCATATCTACCTGAAGTCCAGGAATACAAGATTGAATCATTATCGAACTTGTACTTTTCCTGTACATAATCTTCTTGAGCGTTGGCTTTGGCCTGAGAATACATCTTGACACGGTATTTGATCATTTGAAGAGCATAATCAGGATCAGTCAGAGCTATACCAGGGAACATCCAAATATCCATATCCCAGAAAGTCATACCAGCGTATGGATCAGCAGTAATTCCCCCAACACTAATACCATTGTCGTTCAGATCATTCCCATCTTCTTGAAGGAGCGTTTGGAGGATCATGTATCGACTAACAGCAGCATTGATTTGATCAACCTCAGCCGTAGTATCGTTCTCTGGTAGACGACCGGTGGTAGGGTTCCTGTAATCAACTATTTTTCTTTGCATACGCTGGTTCCAGATGGCAGTGTGCTCAGTATAAAGCACATCCCATCCATCCCTTGTTGCATTATCAGATGCTTGAGC